ATGTGACTAAAAAATACTTAGTTGGATAAGTATAAACATTCTACCTGAAATTTATAAAAAAGTGAGATCAATGAATCATGCTATTTTTTTGTTGGAAAATTTGGCTTGGGGTTTGGTGGGCCTTTATTATGGATATGACACTTGGCTTGAATTGGTTAATATAGGGAGACGCCTCACTTTCTAGCTGCCGACCCTAGAACTTTGCTTATTTCCCTTGAGACTCTATATGTGTTTTGCATATTGTTATATGTGTTTTGCATATTGGATGTTAAATCCAATTAATAAAAATGTATTTTGGATAATATTTTTTTTAGATGTATTTTGGACAATATTTATTTTAAATTTTATACCAAAATAATAACACATACTCAACTACCTAATTTCAAATTTAATGGTCAATTATAAATGCGGCCTTCTTGTATCAAAAGTAAATAGTATTATGTATATATATATTTTTATATATTATCCTAAATATTCTAGCTTAGGTGTAAATGACATTTAATTTTATCTGGAATAAACTATCTGACCTAAAATTAAGATAGTACTTTTTTGTATCATTGTAATTTAGGAGTAATACTTTTTTTCATAGTTATCAAGACTTGGCCGAATGTCTGACCGATCAGATCACCGAACAATGTTTTGGTTGGTCTGGTCCAAGGTAAGGACAAGGTTTGATGGAAAATAGGCTAAAATAAATGTTCAAATAGGACTGGCTAGTTTAACTGGTTTGACGAAAGAATGAAGTTGGACAATTATCTTTTAATATATTAAAATTATTATATATATATTTTAAAATCAAGTCAACCGCTTAGACTAATAGTTAGACTGATTTTAATTGGACAAAACCCCTAATCAATTCAGTAGCCAAGTTAGTTTCTGTGAGTTAATTAGTTCACCCCCTTGCATGTGCACATAATATTTTACAATCAACTTATATTCCAATTTTATTTTAGGGGAAAATAGTTTATAAATTGGAATATTTGTATTGTCGTAATTTATTTATATATGGCTTTTATTAATTAGGCTAAAGAAATACATTCCAGTATATATTTTTCAATTCAATTTTTTGTGATTATTTATTAGAATAAAAATCGTATAAATTTAGAAATAAAAAATATACGAAGAGCTTGTTATCTTTAGTACAAGAATATCACAATCACTCTTGTCTATCAAATTTCAAATCGGGGTGATTGTGAGTGTCTCATTTATTTGACTCAAAGTTCAAAAGGAAATTCTTCAAAATTTGTAACATACCTCAAGTTATCTAATTTAACATCTAATGGCTATGAGTGATTTGACCTCTTTATAACAACGATAAATGGTCCCATAATATACAATCCCATTTAAAAATTGGGGTCAAACAATTGGTTCTAACAAATTTTGAAGATTGTTTCATTATATTACTATAACACGGATTGCATGAAATCACTCCCCTTGTGTGTGTGCAGCGTATGTGTGTAGCATATAAATTGTGGCCCCCATGAGAGCATGATGTATGTCTAATCCTTAAGCCAAAAGACTTAGCTATGAGATTTTTTCATTCTACAATTCTAGGAACCCCCTAAGAATCATTAGATCATTATTTGTGAGTTTTTTTCCCAACTAGATATTGCTGATAAAATATTAGATGGTCTATATTCAATATTGATACATATATTTTTCTAGCATATAGAAAGTTCATCATAATCTAAACCATATCCTAACTATTTAGGTTCAACGGAAGAATTGGATATTAGTTTTCTTGTTTTTTTTTTTTTTTCTTGAAGAGTTTATATTCCCAAAATTTAAGGTTCTAAATATACTCGTCCCTTAGGTATTAAAAAGTGTAAGATCTTTTGGGTATACACAAGTTGTTAACTTTGTGAGATCCATCATTATTACGTGTGAGGCGGAAGTACCTTTTGGCAAAAGACTTTTGAAGTGCTTTGCAAAGCGGATGAGTTAAAGGGCACGCTTGGTCTGAGGTTCGTTCCTCGTTCCTCTTCCGTGAAAGAAAGGGAGCTTTCCAACCAGGAATATTCCACATGCAGAAGGGTTAGAGAGAGAAAGCGAGTTAGAGAGAGAATGAGAGTTGGGAAACGAGTCCCATCCAGCATATGCTTAAATTCCGGAAACAATTGAATAGGAGAGATAAACGGGAGAAAGCCATAAGATGCCCCCATTGTTTTATCGAATTCCGATCCCTTTCTGAACACCATTTAATTCCTGCAGGCCCTACTTGTCCATTAAAAAAAATCTCTCTCTCTAGAATTTCTCTGCCCTCTCTCTCTCTCTCTCCAGAAATTCTCTGACCCGTCCGATCTCTCACTTCCTTAGCTTGTACTCTATTAGCTTGCTCTAGAATTTTTCGAAAGGAATTATTTCTCTCGCACTAGAATTTCTCTCTCTATAAATTGCTTCTCTCTCTCTCTCTCCTTTTTTGATGGTCTAAAAAAGTTTCTATAGGGAGTATATATTCTCAATCCCCATATGTGACCTAATGCAATCACGTCCTGGGCTTTCTCTCACTAAAATTTCCTTCTCTCTATTATTTTTTTTTATAAAAGTGACAACCTGGCCTGGCCTTAAAGGGCCATGACCGGGCCAAAAAAAAAAGGGTCAGCCGAGCTGAAACGGGCCAACACTGGGCCAGCGCAACTCTAAAGCTACCCTACTCTTTTTTAGGGCGGGCCTCGCTTGCCTGGCGCTGCCAGGCCTAAGTCTCTATAACTACCTTCCCATTTTGTCCCTGAGGTTTTGACATTATGTTGGCTCCCTTAAATGGGATTGGAACAGAAATAAACTTTTGGTATTAATATTAATTGATTTGGGAATCCGGACCTTTGGTTGAGATAAGCATTATTGTGTGTGTGCAGGGTAGTCGTAGAGAAATCTGGGCCGTAAATGAATAGCGATGAGAAGGGCCCACCAACAGATAAGAAAACAAGGGGCAAACATTCTTGTGTTTCTTCCCTTTAATCTAGCGCTAGCGGAGGATTTTTCCGATATTATTGCGAACAGTTGGGCCCTTTTTTACAACTAGTGCCTTTACTCATCTTTCAGTCCCTCTCACTCACACTCTCTCTCATCTAAAACTTGAGTCCTTTCTCTCTCTATGATTAGCAACTTTTCTTCCTTCTCCTCTCCTCTCCTTTCTCTCCATGAAAGAGTACGGATTTTCATTTCTCTTTATTCACCCAATCAGTCACTTTCTCTCTCTAGGAGAACAAATTCTCTCTCTTTCTTGAGGCTTCTCTCACTTTCTCTCTCCTATGGATTTCTATATCTTAGTCCTGTGCATTCAGAATTGACAAAACCTGCAACTTTCCCTCTCTCAATCTTCTGCTGCACCTCCCATTTATTATTCTTACACTCCTGCTTAATCTTCTCAACTACAGGGAAGGTTGTAGACCCCTATAACCTACACATGCAAATCATATGAGACTCTTCTTGCCATCATTACTTAATCACTCCTTACCCCACTTCACTTTACTGTATCTCGATTCTCTATTCATCTCTTCTTTCTCTCTCTCTCTCTCTCTAACACACACCCCCTCTATTGCAAAACTAAAACTCTCTTTCTCTCTCATCCCCTCTTTTGCAAAACAAACATTCTCCTATCATCTTTCTGTTCACCACTCTCTCTTTCTCTCTCTAAAAATCTATCAATAGAATGGACATGAGGGCTGGGCATGTCTTTCCTGATCTGTCTCTACAGATCAGCCCACCATCTCAGATGGATCTAGAGATGGCCATTGAAGAGGCATGGCACCCATTATCGAGATTATCAGGCGACCATATTCCAACCACTAATTCTGGAACAAGCAGTGAAAATAGCCAGGAATCACCATTTCTGCTGCACCATCGTTTGATGATGCATATGGTCTCATCGGATAATGATAAGGCCTCTGAGTTTCTTGGACGAGGGCCAAATGCTTCTTTTCCTTTCACTGATTCTTTTAATGGAGATGCCGTGATTTTGGGGCTTGGATCTCACCACCATTTACCAGCTTTAGGAAGGGACTTCAAGAGGAATTCGAGGATCATGAGTTGTGGCAGTAAGAGGAGCATGAGAGCGCCGAGGATGAGATGGACCACCACGCTCCACGCCCACTTTGTGCATGCTGTCGAGCTCCTTGGTGGTCACGAGAGTAAGCAGATTTCTAAGCTTCAAATATCCCTTCTCTCTCTCTCTCTCTCTCTCTCTAAATCATAATTCCTGGTTATCCTTTATGTGATGCTTATGTCTAAGGTCAAAAGACCACTTTTCCTTCTTCTTTCTCCTCCAACTGTGTAAGCTACATGATCCTTAAAGTCTTAAGTAATAGCAGGAATTACCACTTTTTCTCTTCTTTCTCTCTCTAAGTATGCAAGCTCTATCATCCTACATATGTTAAGGTTATAATACTAAGAACCCATTTGTTTCTTTTTCTTTAATAACCAGCTAACTAAGCTGTTTCTCTCTCTCTCTCTAAAAATTTGAACAGGAGCAACACCCAAGTCTGTTTTGGAGCTAATGAATGTGAAAGATCTAACGCTGGCCCATGTCAAGAGTCATTTACAGGTAAAAATAAACTAATAGTTGTACTGCATTTACAGTGGGCCTTCCAATTTTTTTTTTCTTTTCCTCTATGTAGGGTAGGATTAGGACGAAATGGCATCTTTGAGTAATCTTTACAATGTAGACTTTTTTGTTATGTGTGGGTGTTTTTGCAGATGTATCGCACAGTGAAGAGCACCGACAAGGGGGCAGGTATTTTGGTTTTCCCCCTCCTTTCATTTTCTCCCTCCATACTTTCTCTCTCTACACTCCTCTCTCTACCTTTTCATTTCTTTTCTTTGGTTTTGGATCTACTGGTACTATCTATCATGTGGGGTTAGGAGACTTTGTAGAGATCTTTCTATAGTGGAATTATTGGATGGGTGTCTGATAAAGCTCTAGCAATGGCTCTGTGTGATTATGGTTTCAGGTCAAGGGCCGACAGAGATGGGCTTGAGGCAGAGGTCAAGGGTTTCTCAACCTGAGAGTGGTGGTTTCTTGAGAGAGAGAGCCAACCATTTCTTCTCCTCTGAGAACGTACCTTCACATGTAGTTTCGAGGTCTGTCTTTCTCTCTCTAGAAATGAGCGCTCTGTGTTCATCAGTTGGGTGGTACGGGACCATGTGGCCATCTTAGTAATGGCCTTTCTCTATCTAAAGTCTAAGCACTACCTTGACTTTTTGTTGTTTCTGATTGACATGATTTTTTGATTATGTGTGTTTTTGTTGCTTGATCTTGATGGTTGAATCTCACTCCTCCTATGAAACCTTAGAACTAAGTAAAAAGTGAATTCTAGACCCCTACTTCCTCCCAAAAATCAAAAGTAAAAAATAAAAAACCCAAAATTTTTAATAGGCAATGCCTTCATTTTCTGGATCTTTCGCTCTTGAATGCTTGCCTTTCTTTTTTTTTCTTTTCTTTTTTTTGTATCCATCGATCTGGGCTGCTGGATTTATACTGTTATGTAGGCTCATTCGTTTAAATAATATGCGATGAACTAGTAAAAATAATTGGGTTTGTTGAAATATTAGATCTCGTTTGCTGAACCAATGATCCAAGAAAATTGTTTTCCTTTTTCAAGATGGGATAAGTAATGATTCGTATGCTTAAGCCATAGAGACAAGAGGGAGAGAAGCCAAAAAATTTAGCATTAATAGGCAATGTTTTGTCCCTTTGTGTTCTCCAACGTACAGCAGCATTTTACATATTTCTGTAAATACATATCTCCTTCAATTGTGCCATGGGTTTGAATTGTGGTCTGTAGGCCATATTTTAAGGTAGGGACTTGATTCTATCTCCATCATCATTAATTAAATATGATGTATCATCATATTAGTTAGGGTAAAACTGATGATGATGATTATTGTTATTATTTAGTCCGCTTCTTTAAGGAAATTTGAGCACAACTTCTATAGTTTGAATCCAGTTTGATCTACCCAAAAACAAATGTTGCTTGCCCATAATTGGATTTTCATTTCTTATGGATTCTCCACTTGGAAGCATAAGGAGATTAAGTTTTTTCTTTCCCATAGTTGTGGTTCTCTTTAATATGATTTTATGTTTGAAACCCATCAATTCATGTGTATACTCTTTTAATCACTTTTTTTAGGCTTAAAAGGTTCTATTCTTCCATAGAGAAAAACAATTTTTTTTATTAGGCATACGTTTTGGTTTTTTAATTTATGGGCTCTATTAACACTCACGGAATGTTTGGCATTAAAAGTTTGAAACCCATTATTATTTATTGTAAGAGGCAAATGTTCCACTAATCCCTTTTTGTAATATTTCTGTGAGGATTTGTTTAATACCTTTTTCACAACCTTTGCTCGTCATGGCTTTTTTTGCTTTTAAGCCTGTATTTGTATGAAAAGTTTGGTTTTGCTTTTGCATTTAATTATTCTATATAGATTCAGATGCATTGGGATGGGTTCATGGTATGAAATTGCAATTGCATATTATTTCCAGTTGATACGTTTGACTTCACACTAGTTTTTTAACTGTTAACGCATTGGGATGTGTGGAGTCGGTTATGCAACGTACTCCATCTCTTTTTCGCAAAGCCCTTTTAGCCTTTCTTAGTTATTTCTTTAGTAGTTTACTTACGTTTTGGTGTGCTTTCAAATGGAAATAGCCGTTTTACTTGTGACACTAGGTGCCCCACTAGGGTGATTCATTCCCTTTCATTAGGTTTATGCAAGTTACAATGAGCAACCAAAAAGAACGGAAACTTCCAAGTGTTTCCAGCCACGGATTATTATATCACCAGCTCGATGACCCCCCGACTATTTGACCTTGATTTGGACAGATGGGAGTGAAGCTGTCCACAATATTGTGGACGGATATCCGGTCATGTTGTAGTTAATACATGACGTTGTTGTTAACTCACTTTTGATCAAGATTGGATAAGATCGGATAACTGTGTGTCTCCATACGTATTTAAATTATGTGCCGCCGCACTTGAAAAGCTTGCACAAATGAAACAAATCCTTTCCATTTGTTTTCAATTGTATGTCATTTATATGTCCATGGAAATATAAAGCTTCTTAATCTTGATCTGACAACTGAGAGTGAGTTATCAATGATTGTATGTCATTTATAAAGTGACGCATATTTCTTATGCTTGTGAAGGTACTAAGAATACCCCCTAAAAAAAAGAAGTGGGTCGACGTTCATAGTGTTGGAAATATATAATGCTCTTTAGGACAAGCATAGGATTCTGCGGTCTGAATGTTGTTACCAAGTTAATGTGGTTTAGTGTTGGAATTTGTTAAGGCCTCCTGTTGGAAGGTTTAAGGGTTGAGGAAATAGGTCAATACATAGCCTAAAACCATGGGCATGGTGGAAAACCCTAGAGAGAGGTGAGATGTGAGCCATTTGTGGTAGCATATGCTTTAACCAATGGCTTTCTTGAGAGCTGCAATGAGTTTCTTCGAAGGTTGAGCATGTTTGGACTCTTGGTTTCTGGGCTAGAATGCAAAGGCCCTTAAATTCAGCTAGTGCACCCAAAGGGCAAAGTGTCAAGATAGCTATACAATAGGGGACCTGGACCCCAGGGGTTGACCCGAACTGGGTCTGGGAATGGGTCTAAAAATTGGGCCCCACGGGTTGAGTTGGGGTCTAAATTTTTGACCTGAACACTATTCAGGTACAGGGTCAGGGTCTGGGTCCAGGTCTGGCCACCCAACCCGTTGCCATCCCTATTATAGAATAGACTCAGCAACAATCAGTAGTTGGAGAGAAAGGTGATAAAAGAAATACATGATATTATATGTACTTACCCAAATTAATAAAGATTTCAAAGAATGTGAATTGAAATTTATGGTTTTCTCAAGAAGGTCAGTTCACGGCAAGCTTTCCTATGGTTGGGGAATTAGGTTTATAACTATTTCAGTCTTAGCATCATCTTGAAAGTTTCTACTCATTAGATTTAACTGATTTCACTTGGATTTGGGTTGTTTGCATTTGAGTTCCAAGTTTAATTCTATATATAACTTATGCCAAAATCCATGTGGCATTGGAGAGGCTGTACCTTGTGAAAGAGTTTGGGCAGTATCAGAATAATGCTTGCATCTTGTAGTTCGTAACACAGTTTAGAATGCGGCGAGTCCACCGGTTTTTGGTATTGACCGATGGGTAGTGTGCCGACTATCTGTCTGAGTCAGTCATTGTGAACTGTGATTCGTAAACAGTCCTATTGAAGTAGTTATGGATATCCTACGAATAAGCACAACTTAATTTCTTTTGCAATCATCAAAATCATTCACAATATTAATGCATATTGATTTGTACCCTGAATATATTCAATTCTGTTTCTTTCTTCAAGTGAATGGGATCTCCTAGTTCCATTACTTTCAAAGTAAGTTGATGATCTTTCCTAGATATTTCAGATCGGTTATATAAAATATCAATTCATTAGGATGAATGTGATTGATTGTCATTTCTTGAAAGGTTGTTTAGCATTTCAACACTGATTTGCCCTTGAACTTCACAATACACTATCCTGGCTTGTATTTATGTGTTAACACTTTCCTGATGTCTCTTTACTCCCAATATTTACTGTATATGTTACACTGTGTAGGGGATCTTGGCTCGACTCATTAACAAAGGAAAATGAATCAATTTACTCTCAAGCAGAGACAAACCAGTATACAAATTTAGAAGTTGAGGTATGAACAATATTCCCTTGGGCTTTTTCTGTCTGCTTTCAATCTATATCACAAAAAACCGTTACACTTGCTTAAAAGGTTGATGTGGAGTTTTAATCGATTTGTTGAAATTGGAACACCACTCAAAATTTAGCTACATGTTAATTGTACTATTCTTTTTTATGTTGTCAGTTTGTTTTTGAAATATGAGATTACAATTCAAACTAAAATTTAGCAAAATTTCTAAACTTGCTACCCCTAAATATTTTTTGACCAACATTTATAACCTTTCTTTAATGAAAAATAAATATTGGCAAGAAAATTGTTTCTGTCATAATATCGTATAATTGAACGAACACAGAGTGATTGTTGTCCTACAATTTAAAACCAAAAATATTTACTGTCATAATTGTTGTTCATGGAAATATGAACTGTCTTAGTTGTTGTGCTTCTTGGTTTAGGTTGACAAATACAAGGAAGCTAGTGATTCATATCATGAGGAAGCTGAGAAGTGGCATTCCAGCTCTTATCCATCTCCACAGTTAACTTCTTCAAGATTGCTTTCTAAATTGCCTAATTTGGAATTTACTTTGGGAAGGGAAAGTTGGCAAAATGATTACTCAGAAACTACAAGTGAACTCGCACTTCTTAAATGCTAAATGTCTACATACTGGGAATGCCATGATGTAAATGTCTTTTGGCTGGTTTACAAAGTTGCCCTTATGGGAAGGTTATACACATGCTTTTGCAAATGTTAGTCGCAGCACACATCTTCTAGGCAAGAACCACATCGTGTGTGTGTGTGCGTGCGTGCGTGTGGGTGTGTGCGTGCGTGTGTGCGCACGTGACATATAAAATATAAAATAGTAGGCAGACGTCTAAATTGAATCTAGGTGACATGGATGGCTGGAGTTGCATGTTAGGTTTTTATCATTTTACTTTTAAAATTTAAATGAGTTTGATGGCCTCCAAATTATGGGCATATGTGCACTGCATCTAGGTGCTCCAAATAAAATTAAAACATAATGTGCCAAAAAAAAAAGTTGCCAAATATGCATACCATTGTTGGTGTCATCTAGATCGTTATCTAATGTGTACCATCTAGATTATACTGTTCGATATGCCCGATTGCTCAAAGATCATTATCTAACGTGTGTGTGAAAAAGGAAAAAAAAAAAAGATAGAAAAGAATTCTGCAAACCTCATCAATCTTGATTGAAATGGAAATCAGCCATGCATATTCTCTTCAAACTTCCAATTTTGGTCGTTTATTTGGAGAGAGAGCCGCTTATACTAACTTTATCTTTGAAAGCAGACAATCTCAGGCATTCTAATATCAAAAAAATGAAATGCCAAATCCAATGTAGAATGATGAAACGATGTATTCTTTGTGACATGTCGAATTAAAGGGGATAATTTGAAAATAATTATTAAAGTTATTAGCTTAATAAGGGTGGAGACCTTAAACTTTCCCTTAACCTGTCCCAACCTTGGATAAAGGAGGTGTGTTGCGTACGTTAGGTAGCTAGTATAAAACTTTGTCATATCCTACCATGAATCCTGAATCTTTTGTTATCTACTTATGCTAGGGCGCGATATAACTATTGATACTGTAGAATAGTGAAACAAGATTCATGTAGCTGACCTCAATTAGTTGGGATAAAGTCATAAGTCTTCGATGATGATAATAATCTTGAGAGGCAAGAGTCTTTCCTGCACTTCAAATTAAAGTGGAACATTGCCTTTGAATCCATAGAAATAGAATTATCTTAAACTTGATGCGAAAAAACCTGGTTTTTTTATTATTTTGAGAAGTTATATAAGTGACAATAAAGAGAAAAGTTATTAAAATATTGTTATTGGTGTTTGAGAAAATACCGATTTAGACAAAAAATCACAGATAATGATCAAAATCAATAGGTGGGCTATCTGGTATCCACCCAAAAATTGCTAGTGCTAGTATTTTATTTCTCTTCCAAATTTTTACTGGTTCGCTAGTCCGGAACAGTGCAGTAGGTGAGCAATTCAGATCCCCATTCGGGGTTTTAAAACCCTAATTTCTAGTACATGGAAGGGATCATATATGAAATGAAGTTTCTCATTTCATAGGGTTTAGATCTGAAGTAGTGTAAATCATCTCAGGGAGAGAGAAATGTTATCAAAAGGAATCTAGGGAAAGCGAGAAGACAAACAACAGTACATTAATCATCGAAGGTTGGCAATAGCAATATTGCAGGTAGTACAATGATAATGTTTGGAAACGATAGTAGGCAATCATGATTGATTGTAGCGAAACTGACTCGTACGAGTTGTTCTCAACTGGCTTTCTCCACGCCAATAATCGATCCACAACCTTTGCAAGAGAGCCATCACTTAGTCCAAAATGAAACCGAAGATCATTCCAATTTTTCATCAGTAGCAAGCCTCTTTTTGTAATGGTTTGGTCTCTCTTTACATTACCTGTTTTGATTAATGTCTTTGCTTCGGTATTTCAAAATAATATTCTTCGCAATGAGTATTATAAGGATCAGATCGATCACCGAACCAATAAGGAGTTTGGTCTAGACAAAATCTGTCCAGGTACTGGGCAAATCGATTGGACAAAATTTTGATAATAGGAAAAGAAAAAAAATAGAATAGGTTAAAGTATGAAATATATTGACATTTTTTTTCCAACTTTATTTAGCTGGTGGAAACAGTTGAAACCGGCTGATTTGACTGGTCAAAATCGTTTAAACATTGATTTTGGCTGATTTTTTTTATCAACTTTAGTTTTTATGTTGGACCAGACTGGTAAAAGCACCACTCGGCGATCCGACTAGTCGGATCACGAGTTCAAACCCATAATATTTGGAAAAGCTTAATCTGTCTTATTTTATTGTTCAACTTTAAATTTTTAGTCCCACATTATTGAATGAATGAAAAAATGAAAGTGAAGTTTATACCGTGGTTCTCTTCTTCACTAGCATTTGCATTTGCTTTTGCTTTTGCTTATGCAGAGCATGCCATATTCACATGTGTCTGTGGGCGCAAAGGCACTTGAGATACACTTTGCACTTCTTGGATGATGCAGTTTGTGCTTTCCCACCGGAGAGAGATTATAATAGTGGGTGATGGGAACTCCCACGAGGTGGTCCTCACGAACACTACAATTTTGTAGGATTCACCACTAGTAAGGGATGAACCTGTACCATTGTGACTTTCGGCATTCAGCTGCATGTATGTTATGCTGACTGACAAGCCATTTTATGACTGTCAAAATCGAGAATCGAAGAGTCACAACTCGTTGAAGTCGAGAATCGAAAAATCACAATTCTTCATATTTCGAATTGGACAACAGTTTTACATACTCAATTTTCATATAATCTACTCTTGTTTTGCTATCTCTCTCTTTAAACGAAGGCAACTTTTCTGCTCTCAGATCTGCTATCCCCGTGCATTTGGTTTGCCAAGAAAAGCATTAGACATTTTATTTCTATGTATCCCAAATACAAATTGGCCTATAAAACTTTTAGGTACACTTATGATTTTTATAAATAAGGGACAACTTTTGTCCTAAGAAAGAGACTATTCGTGCCTAATAATAGGAAGGTCTTTTACCATTGAAGTACTTGAAAAATTGTTTCTTTCCCTATTAAGCCCGTTTCACCCACCATTAGAAAATCTGATAGCTTTCAACATACTTTCCCACCATCCATGGCAAGCTAAAGAATGCCACTGTTCTAGTTATTTCATGACTCCACCGGTCACTGACTATATAAGTTTGTCTAATAAATTCAAATAGGAACATTTCTAAGTTTGCATAAAACTCCACATAGGTTAATGTAGAAATATTCCAACATTTTCATCTCCATTATAACATTTTAAACTCCAAAAATATTTCAAATCAAGTAAATCTATAAATACTTGAAAATCTTGAAAATGGACGGTCCAGATAAAGTGTTGCAAGATACAATGTTTTTAGGACTCGAAATCTTTTTTATTTTCATATTCACGAACATAGTTCTTTGCTTGTTTTATGATTGTTATATATATGTGTGTGTGTTGAAAAAATTGCCATAGACCCACTAGAGTACAGTTACATATGAGTCCAATAGACCAGATTCAAACAGAGCCGATCCAATTATCACAATAGCATTTCTTATTTGAATTTTATGTTTTGTTTTTATATAAATACAAATCATTTGAAAATTTGAGCTTACATTCTTTAAAAATAGAAAAATCCAAAAAAAATATCAAAAAAATAATTTGCAAAAAATAAATTGACCAAAATACCTCCGACATATTTGGGGGTATTTTGGTTAATTTAATTTTTATAAATTATTTTATTCATATTTTTATCAGATATATCTTGATGAGAATAATGCATGTCTAAAGTTTCATATGATTTGAATTTGTAGAAAAACAATTAAAATTAAAGTAGGTTAGTGACTGTCAGATTGTTGGGCTCATATGGGGTTGTAGGTTAGTGAGCCTACACCAACTTTTTCCATATATATATATATATATATATGGAAGAGACTGCAAAATATTTATAGGTGAAAGTGAACAGTATTTTTGCCTATAGGCTCGGCGAGGTCTGATTTTCTCAGACAACGTGTATTAAAGACCGTCACAGACTTTGCATGTCCGTGGCGATCCGTCACAGCCATAACAATCCCGTGACGAGATTCTTTCACAAAAATTTGACTCAAAATATATGGAGGCACCGCCACGGCTCTCGTAGGTGCATGGCGGTTTTTAGGCATAACCATCACAGACATAGCATGTCCGTGACAGGGGCGAAACACTGTAGCACTTCACCTATAAGCATTTTTAAGACTTTTCCTATATATATGAAAAAAGATGGGCTTAGCCCACTAGCTCATATGAACATATGAGCCCAACGACTCAGATTGAATATGGGCCGATCTGTCAATCACAGATGTCCCGTAGTGCTTGAATTTTAGTTTTTTTTCTACAAGTCCAAATAACTTAAAATTTAGGTGTTTGTTTTTCTCATCAAGGCACACTTAATAAAAATATAAAAAAAATATTCGTGAAAAATAAAATGACCAAAATACCCCAGAATATTTTGGGGATCTTTTGGTTAATTTATTTCATGTAGAATATTTTTTTGATATTTTTAGAAGATTCGCCTATTTTTGATGAACACACGCCTAAAATTTTAAGTGATTTGGATTTTTAAAAGAAAAAAAAGTAAAATTTAAACAATACCAGACACCCGTGATCATAAGATCGGCCCAGATTCAATCTGAGACATTGCGCTTATATGTTCATATGAGCTAGTGGGTTAATCCCATCTTTTCCCATATATATAGAGGGTGCGGTTTCTATAAGGTTGCAACCTTAAACAATCCAATTAAGGCTCACCTTAAAATTTTATCAGTAATTTTGTTGTAAAAAATTCTTAGTATTATCTTAAAATCTATTTTCATACCTAATTAAAAAATTTTAAATTCCAAAAATGGCTAAAATTAAGTAAATCTATAAATATATGAAAATCTTGAAAATGGATGGTCTAGATAATGTGTTACAAGATGCACTATTTTCGGGACTCAAAAACCTTTTTTTCATCTTCATACATCTCGATGTCGAGATGATCGATTAGAGTATTTTTTCAAAATTAAAACAATATTTTCGATAGATTTTTGAGGTGCACATGTGATTCTACATTTTAAGGTTGCAACCCAACCTTATATAAACTTTTCCC